TCTTTCCATTATATAATTTGAAGTTCGGGACAGTGAATTTACTCAAGATTCGACCCCTTTCGATCCACATGGTGAAAGGTGAGGTCTCCGAATCGTCTTCATATTCTCTGGTTGCCCTTCTAGCTAGGTCTCTAGTCGATTTTTGCTCTGGTCTTTTCAGGCGGTTGTTGAGCTCTTCAGTAATGAACTGCTTCCAAGAATCTTCCTCGTGCCCCCGAGGTCTTTTCTGCTTGTACTCATTGTCCTCGACATTTTCTCTTCTATCTCATTTTTTCTCGGGACTCTCCCGTCGACTTTCCTTGTTACATTTTTCTCTCTTAGTCATCTCCTTTAGTCTAGCTTTTAACTCCTTGTTTTCTTTTATCAGATCTTTTTCTCTGGTGTAGGATTTTTTAAATAATTTGTCATGCGGGTCAAGTCGGTCCTACAGGGATTGAATCAACTTTGCCAGTGAGTGGTTCTTCCCCTTGATATGGAAGGATTCACCACGGTCATCATTTTGCTGATTCTGCTGTCTAGGCGATCTAAAACTCGCGGAGGACAACTTGTCATCCTCACGGGGTTTAGTTGGGCTTTTGTCCACTTACATCCTAACGTCGCTATCAGATGGAAGTGACACCCTATAGTCTAGATCGGAATCCCATAAGGCAAAACTGCCTATAGGTGATTCGATGGCACATTTCAATCTTAACATTGGCTTTTTGCTTCGATTGATGAGAATTTTTTCATAGACGGTGCCAAAAATGTAAGAGATAAAAACTGAGGATATCTCCTACAAGAATAAAGAATGAACGTTTTTGATAAGAGTAAGCTCTGAACTTTATCTCCTAGTCTTTGTTTCCTGCAAAATAAACAAATTGCTCAAGGGTTTAGTTGGGCTTTTGTCCACTTACATCCTAACGTCGCTATCAGATAGAAGTGACACCCTGTAGTCTAGATCGGAATCCTTTAAGGCAAAACTGCCTATAGGTGATTCGATGGCACTCCGATGCTTAAGTCAATAATGGAATCAAGACGATTGCAAGAAGACAAGAAGAGTTCGGCATACCTTTCACCTTGGCTCCTTGTGCTTTTTATAGACTCCTGTTCAGTTAGGGTTTTCATGATTATCGATTCAAGGTGGTAAATCTTCCTCTAATTAGACGGCTCTATTTGAAAAGTTGTTGAGATCTCTTCAGTAATTCTTCCTGTTAGGCTTATAATTACGCCAATTCGTTTAACCAGAATGCCTGAATTATGGGCATCTTTTTAGCTTTTCGTTTACTGTTTGAAACAGCTCGGTCATGAAGAGGACCGACCTCTTCCCTTTACTCCCAAGCTCTTTGAACGACTTGGTTTTAGATTGATGACTTAGTCTAATGATGTCTCTGTCACGTGATTGGTCTTGTCTTACTCACGCGGAGTCATTTAATGCAAGTGCACGTGTCATATAGGGAGCCGTCCTCTTCAAAATATGTCTCGAACGTTTTATATTTCGCTCTTGATCAAGTTGTTTCTTAGTAAGGGCAAATTTAAAAATTCAGTTTTTGGTGGGCATTTTAACTATAATATCAAATTTGTTGTAAATATATTGTATATAGATATGGATGAAATTTAGTCTACCAATTTAATTGGTGTTAATAATTTACTCTATAACCTTTATTCAAAGTTAATATTGTATTTGATGACCATTATGATTTGAGATCTATAAAAAGAAATCTTCACCACATTGAGAAATATACAAGTTGAAAACTTTTTTTTCTAGCACATATATATATTTTATATGTTCTTTGTAGTCTATATAATTCTCTTACTTTTATAACATGTTATTAGCACGAATAGTTCAAGTATTGTTCAAGTGAATTTTAGAAAAGCGCTAGATTTCTAGTTTCTTCAGACTTAAGAATTTCAAGTAAATTTCTTTTAAGATAATCAATTTTTTTTTATTCTATAATTGTTCATGCACATATAAAAGAAATTTGATTATAGGTTTTGACCCTAAGAGTATTTGTTCTTCATATTATTGTTTCTAGAAGGAGTGATAGATTATTATGTAATTCTTTTAATCCACCTGAATTCTACCAGAATTATGTATGAGATTTCTTTTGGTTAAGTTTTATATACTCTTGTTTTGAGTTTTAGTATTTCTGTGTTTATTTATTATTTGTTTCAGTTTTGTGATTTGAATAATGTGCATAACTTGAGATTGTCGCTCTTGATATTTCGGGTAACAACTATCTTTATTTCATTTTGAGGTTGAGAGCCACTTGACAGTTACGAATCTTGGTGATATTATTAAAAAAGGAAATGACACATCTTTGCTAGATCGTGCATAAACGTTCAAGAAATTGGTATATAACATTGGAATGTGTCGAGTTTGTGACCAATCTAGTTGATTTCTTATTAAGGGGAGATTTTCATCAAGGGGAGTATCCAAATCAAGATACATGACATATGCACGTACTTATTTTCCTTCATCCAGGTTTTGTCTCATTAGGTTTTTCTGATAAGGTTTTAATGAGGCAATATTAGTGCGTCCAATGCTATTATAAGATTTATCAGAATATATACTCTTTTTCTTTTGTTGGGTTTTTTTCCATCAAGTTTTTTTAGTAAGATTTTAACAAGACATATTATTTTAGCATAATAGTCATCCAAAAGGGAGTGTTGTAAATATATAACATATAGATATAGATGAACCATACTCTACAAATTTTAGAAGTGTTAGTATTTGACTTTATAACCTCTACCCAAAGTTAATATTGCATTTGAGGACCATTATGATTTTATGCCCATAAAAAAAGGTTTTCACTACATTGAAAAATACACAAATTGAGAATTTTTTTTCTTTAACATATATATTCTCTTACTTTCACAAAAAGATTAATTTTTCCAGTCGATAAAATGATTTCATATTCATATTTATTTGCCTAAAGGTCAATCATAGAGCAACTCCAAGCAATTTTATATTCAGATTAGGAGTGTATTATAAAATAATACAAATCAATATCAATGGCAGAAAATCATAACACAATAAAAGTACTAAACTTACCATAAAAGACCAACCTCAGCACATATTGTCAAAGAAGCACAACTGAAGTAAAAAACGTAAGCTAAACTAGGGAAAAAATTGTATGTTACAAGTAGGTTTATCATCTAAATTGAGTTTGAATTGGATTTTGATTAATTCGAATTTGAATCCAACTTTGTAAGTTTGATCCAAATTCAATACGATAATCTGACAAGTCTAAGTTTTTTTTCATTATTTATATTTTGACTTTTTATCAATATATGATGAGTGATTTATCATTAAGTGAAGTTGTGTAAAAAGTAATGAAGAATATCTAGATCCCAGGCGAAGGTTGGGCACGGAGCCACATTTTGGACAAAATTAGAAAACTCAATTTGGTTAAATTAATGTCCCAACCCGAAAGAGGTTACAAATCTTAAGGATCATTATTTTGCAGCACGACAAAATATCATAATCGGTGTATGAAACATGAAATTTTGCATGAAAATCATGTATCACTCATGTAGATGTAACATCCGAGTATATAAAATAGAAATAAGTTGAAGGTTATTGCAAGAAAATGACCAACTTTAACTTAATTTCTACCCGGAAATCTAACTAACTAATCCTTATTAGCTCAATGAGTAATAGAGCCGTGAGTCGTCATTAATTAGGTTTAGTTCTTGGTTAACATGATCAATAGAGACCTCCACTTTCTCATCAATTCTACCATTTGGCTGAAGCCCACTGTCCACTGCTTGTGAGAAGTCTTGTTGGCAGAAGCGTGGCTGAAGTTCTTCCACTTGCTCAAGTCGCACCATTTTTGCTGAATTCCACCACTTGGGCGGAGAAGTATTGTTGAAGTCCACCACTTGCTCATAAACTTCTAAATTCCAACATTTAGTCTCAATCTACGCACAATCACTCATAAAAATGTACAATCGAACAATGGGTACGTTTTGTAAGCAGATCTTTAGCCAGTTTCATTTAAGATTGCTGAGAAATAAAAGAGTTTGATTGATACAGAGCATTGGATCTCAATGTCACCACGAGAAAAAATTCGAGTGAAAATTTGACCTCGTGACACTAGGTTATTGGTTGTTTCCCTCTATCGATCACTACCCTCTCCAAAGTAGGTTTTATTTCTGAGAAAAAAAGATGTGAAATGTCTTTGACACGAATATATTGATTAAAAGATAATACATCTCCTCTGTTTAATATATTATCCTCTATTTTGCATAAATAATTTTGTAAGTACCTTTTTTATTGGTAAGTTACTAGTTGGTAACCTACTAAAACACGGTTAGGTACAAAAGATAGGATACCCTAATACAAAAAAAATTAATAATATTTTAAAGAATCAATTTCTCAATAAGAATGATATACACTACATTTTACAAGAAGATGAAGGATGACTTTGCTATGGATTTTATGATTTGTACATTAAAAAAATATTAAAGAGAAATTTAACTTAAAATTAATCGGTTGCAAACAATTTTCTAGACTTGAAAGAATGTTGGTTTTTCCTAGTCACAGCATAGATGACTTATTTTTGACCGGACCAAGAAAGAGATTAGTCGAGGTGCACATAAGCTGGCCTGAATACTATTGACCGTTGAACCAAAAAAAAGAATGTTAGTTTTCAGTTTAATATGTTGATATTTTCAGTTTAGTATGTGATTGAACTGAAATGTAATAAAAAAGGTTATTATGCAGCCTTTTATTCATATTATGTTTATGCTAAATAGAAATTAGTTTCATTAATTCTTATAGTAATTTAGTCATGAATTTAATATATTACAGGATATGGATTTAATCGTCTTGATATTCTTGACATTTTATTTTATTTTCTTGTATTATTTTAGTGATATTTTTTGGCCCCTAAGAAAGAATTATGGATTCGTTGTCTCACTGTTCTGCATTTCTACAATCTCATTGAAGAACCTTGAAGTTGCATTAAGTACTTTCTAGGAAATCAATCTAAAAAATTAGTTGTTGCTCACAGGAGCTGATGTTGGCAATAACCATTGCACCTTTCGACGTTCCACATGTGTCCGTCGCCGGTTACTTCATCCCAAAAGGTAGTCACGTGCTGCTGAGCAGGCCGGGACTCGGCTGCAACCCCAGAGGAGCCACTCAAGTTCAAGCCGGAGCGCCACTTAAAGGACGGTGGCTCGGAGGTGGTGCTTACTGAGCCAGACCTGAGGATGTTGTCGTATAGCACAGGGAAGCGTGGGTGTGCGGCGGTGACATTGGGTACTACAATGACCGCCATGCTATTTGCTAGGTTTCTTCATGGGTTCACTTGGAATGTGCCACCAGCTGTGTCAAGCATTGATCTCAAAGAGTCAGTGGGTGATCTCTCACTCGCTCAGCCACTGCTAGAAATGGCTCAACCAGGTTGGGATAAAAACGCCTATCACTTGATACATCATTAAGACTAGTTATTAGGTTGAGTTTTTAAGTATTACAAGGAGTAATTGTAACGATAGAGATGATCAATATGGAGTTGGAGGTTTGAATCGACTATTATGCTAGTTTACTTAAATTCATTGAAAAATAACGGACTTCATAATACTAATAGTGAGAATATATCGGAGTGAACTTTAAGCGCCGTCTTTTATCTCCACCTTTTTTTTAATCAGCAAAAAATAGAATAGAGATGGGTTGCTAATCTACTTGGTCAACAATCCCATGTATTTCACAGATCATCGCCCTTCTAAGCACATACCTCAGCAATATGAACTTCATTGTCAACCATATGATCATGGGGCCTACTCTTGTTGTCCTCAAGCCTGGCGATGAACTTGCTCGGAAAGACAAACTTGAGGAAGTACCAGGCTATGAATTGAATGCGGTAAGAACTTGGTCAACTCCTTTATCGTTCTTTGCCAATTGCAATTAAGGGTTGTTCTTAATTGGAAGTGAAGGTTTCGAGGGAATTGTACATATTTCACTGAGCTAGGCAAGCATTTTCAGCTAATAACATTTTGTCCCCTCAATCTTTGCAGATTAATGAGTTTTACCTCTTCAATTAGTTGACTACATGGTTCACAAATTTCAAATTTGAGAGGAAATTGGGCGGACAGTCTTATCTACAATTTTACGGTATTTGGATGAACATTTGTCATCTTTTTAGGTTCGATCTCTTGAAATTACGACCGTACAAAATGCTTTTACTTATTATAACACGGTTCAAAAAATGTGAGTTATGAAGTCTTACCCTATTTTTGAGAAATTGATTATTGAAAAGATATGAACCACTACTATATTTAAAAAATAAATAAATAAAATTGTGTATTCAAAATAGTACAATCCTAAAATAATATAGAAACCCTCAAAGTGGTTGCATTAGAAAAATTAAGGGCGAGGTTAGATTTCATATCAAATAACAGTATTTGAAAATAGTTTTTATGAAAAAAATTTAAGAAAAATGTGTTTTCATATTTTTATATTGTAAAACTTGTTTGATTTATATGTTTATGAAACCAATTTTAAGGAAAAAGAATAGTACAATCTGTTTGGATAATGATTTATTTCACACCAATCGTTTTTGCCAAAGAAAAAGATTTTATATATATATGGAACATGGCTAGTCAAACAACATTTCTCCCATTTATGAATTCCGAAAACAAGAAAACCGTTTTGGAGACACAAGCCAAACACGACCAATGTGCGTGCAAGATCCTGCACAATATAAAAAATATTGGGAACAGCTCTCTCCCCTGGTGAACTTTGAGTGAGCCGGTTGAGTGGCCAAACACACTGCTTGAAACAGCCTATAAGGAACGGTGGCAACCTGGAACGGCTAAGGAAGATCCTGGGAAAGGAAGAACGATCCTGTACGTGTGAAAGGTATTTCCTGGAACAAAGGAGAACAAGTTAGAAGGGCGCCGGAGTGTTTTCCGGCGTATCCCCTCCGACGGTCTAGTCAGTCTTTGAATGAGAGAGAGGAAGGAGAAAACACTGATAAGGATATTTTGTAGTAGTGAGTTTGTGATTGCCTACCCGCTTTGCCTTTTGGGAGGAGTATTTATACCTTAGAAGCTCATGATTGCTGTCAGTGTGGTCAGTAGGTGATCATCAGGCACTGGTAGCGTGTGTATTGATTTGATGAGGAATGTCTTCTCTAATTGACTGCTCGGGGTCCCGAGCAATCAATGTTGAGTCGTCGGGACGCCGACGGTACAATATGCTCCTTTCGGGAAGGATGTAATAAATGCTCCGTAATAGGAGCATTTATTGCCTTTCATATCCGAACCTTACCGCATTGAATGCGGTCTCGTCAACAGAAGGGTGCAATTAATTGTTTGCTTCCCAAAGCGCATGTCAGCAACAGCATGCGGTTTGCCTGTTTTTGATGTGATATCGTATGCCACGCGTCCGTCACGTATTGGCTATGACTTCTGTATTCCAACATGTTCTGACATTACTTGTGTAAGACGAGGTCATGATGAATAGTAGACTCTAGACGATGTCCCGTACGTCAGTAGCTTTATCTGAGAGTAGAGGAAGCGTCCAGGATGGAGTGACCCTCGGCACCGAGGAAAGGCTCACCTCGGGGGGACCGAGGGGTGGTGTGTGTTCCGAGGTACACGGTGACCGAGGACACGTGTCGTTGTATAATGCACCGAATATGTGATCCTATATGAGAGGTACCTCAGGGGAGAGGATACTTTGCCGATGGTGCTTGACCCCGAGCAACATTGTTCTAGCACCCCGAGGATACGTGTCTTCATCATAGGGCTTTTCAGAAGAGTCCCATCAACTGCCCCCCAGCCTTCGATCTTCTGACGCCGAGGACACGCGTTGTCAGGAGACGAAGGGTTTTCCAACTGCCATCCGTCCTTCATTATGGCCTCGAGCAGCTTTCCCTGGCTTGGGACGTCGTGCGCATTAAATGCGCTGTTTTGGTTCTCCCGCCCAATGATGACAGTTTCCCCCCTATATAAAGGGGGTTCTTCTCTGGTTTCCATCGTTTTGCCATTCCGATCTCTGACCCAGAATACGCCTTTTCTGATCTGCTCGCCGGAGTTTTTGTTTCCTCAGCCATCGTCGACAGCATCTTCTCTTAACATCACAGCCAGTAAACCCATTGTTGACTCCTGGTCTTTCGGTGCGAGTCATTTCAAAGTTTTTCCTGAAAAACTCCGTTTTCGGTTTCGGGTGAGTTTCACAACCTTCTTCTTTATCGTCCTCCTAGCCTTCTTGTTTTCCGATTGAACGGTGGTGTCATCCGGTCGGTACGTCTTGATTTAAACCCTCGGAGAACTTCCTCAGGTTTTCAAGAGAGAACACCTTTTCCTTCCCTTTCTTTTAGAGATGCCTCGTCGTCGCCCTGCTCCCGAGAATCCATCGGCTGGTCCCTCAGGGGTCAGGGAAATACAAGGTGACAGGCGAGACGCAGATCGATAAGTTCAGGGTTAAGTATGGCATCCCCCCGAGCGTGGACGTAGTGGGTTTTAACCCTTTGTTGAACTCTCCTACCTTCGGGGCCGCGGATGCCATGCCTTTCTATACCAAGGCCATCATAGAGGGTGGAATTAGGTTTCCTTTACCCCCCCTGCTTCTTCAGTTCCTGTCTCGCTTCCGTCTCTTCCCCGGGCAGTGCTGCCTCAACGTCTTTCGAATAATTATGGGGGTCCTAGAGCTCAATAGGCGCCTCGGGGTGAATATTGGGCTCAATGATCTCCTTTTCTGTTACTCCCTCCTAAGAGTCATGCCTCACCAACATTTCTACCTCAAAGCCAGGGACCCCTCCATGTACCTTGTAACCCATCTTCCTGATTCGGACAAGGGGTACAAGGACGACATCTTGATCTTCAAGGGATGTTGGGGAGAGGGTGTTGGGTCCCGAGTACAATGACTTATTTTGCCCTCGGAAATGGAGACAGAAGACAAGTACGTCGGTTCCTTCGCGGGTTTTTATTTGTTTCTTGGACTTCTCATGTTTATGACAATCTTTTTTTTGTGCGTGTGAGATATTCCTTCTCGGGAAACAGCTCCTCCCCCTCGGTCGCTGGTCAACTTTGCCGACCTAGTAACGGTTTGGAGTTTCACGGGCGCCGACGGATTTGGCCGAGCTGCCCATAATCTGCTGCACTATACCCCGGGTACAAGAAGTTCTCACAGCTCCCTCAACCTTTCGAGCCTTCGCAGTGGTCAGAGCTCTTTGATCAAGGCGGCGAGGCTAGAGGTCGAGCAGAACTTGGAGAGGAAGACCCGGATCGGGCTTCAGAGGGAGAGGTAGAGGGAGTTGCTGAGGAGGTCGGGGTCAGAGAGGACGTTGCTCCTTCGGACCCC